ATGTTCAGCCTCATGTTCAGCCTCATGTTCACCCTCTTCATAATCCCGAAGACTTTTTCCATGTCTCGAACATGGTCCTCTTTCTTCTTGCTTTTGATCAGGATGTCATCCACATAAGCCTCCATGGTGATTCCCAAGACCTCTTTAAATAACATCCCGATCATTCTTTGGAACGTGGCCATGACATTCTTCAACCCGAATGGCATCACAATGTAACAAAATACACCGTCCGAGGTGACGAATGTTGTTTTTCCTGCGTCAGCCGGGTGCATAAAGATCTGATGATATCCACGAAAGGCATCCATGAAACTCAATAGTTCGCACCCGGCGGTTTCATCCACTAGTAGATCGATCTGATGCACCGGATAAGGATCCATAGGGCGTGCCTTATTCAGATCGGAATAGTCAACGCACATTCTCCAAGTTGGCCCCTTTGGGGCTAGGACCACATTTGATAATCACTCCACATGGATTACCGGTCTGATGTGCTTGATCTGGAGCAATACAGCCACTTCTTGTTTGGTAAATTCTTGCGGTTCGGCCGCCTGGTAACATTTCTTCTATTGGACTTGTTTGATGTGTGGCCGAACGGCTAACTGATGACATATAATTTCCGGATCTATGTTCGACATATCCTGTGGTCCCCTGGCGAATAGGACTTGGAACTTAATGATTATTGCAACCACTATTTCCCTAGTTTCTGGTTCCAGGTCCACCCCTATCCCGACCTGTCGATCGGGGGGTGAATCCAGGTCGATGTATTCCAGCAGAGTGGCTAGCTCAGGGCGTGCTATAAATTCCGCATGTCGGGTTTCTTCGACAATGGTATTTACCCGCAGGTTCCGGTCATTTATTTTCTTCATGGCCTCCTTGTAACAGGTTCGGACACTGATCGGATCTGTTCGGGCTACTCCCACGCCTGTTTCAGTAGGGAACTTTATGCAGGAGTGCCGAACCGAAGCAATTGCTTCTAAGTCTTCTAATCCAGGCCGGCCCAATGTGGGGCATTGTGGGCGCATTGAATATCCACTACAGAAGGGAGATGGTCCCTTCGGTGTCGATGCAATTTCCTGTGCAGCTGACCAACGGTGTTTGTAGGGGTGTCAGCCTGTTCCTCCCCAGTTTCATTCTTTCGAACGCTCGTAAATACAGGACATTTACACTGCTACCCGTATCCACTAGTACTCAGCGGATGAGGGTGTTATCCACACACATGCTCACCACCAACTCGTCCCTGTGGGGATTGGTTGATGCTGACAGATCTGCGGGACCGAACGTGATTGGTTCGGTCCTTACCTTCTTCTAGGGTGGGTCGGAGATGGAAGCCACCAGTAGGCTTCTGTCGAAGTTCTTCCGTACGGCGTCTGTGTGCCCTGTTTCTCCCACGCCAAAGATGACCTTGATCTCCATTCTGGGCTTTTTTCGCGGATTTTCTGATCCTTCAACCTCGTCCATGGGCTGTATGTATGCGTCATTTTGTGGCTGGGCATCTCTTTGATCATCCCTCTTCCAACTATTTGACCTTTTATTTTGATCCTGGAGGGGGCCTACCTCACTCGGGTCTTTGTTCACATACTTACCCAGGTGACCTTGCTGGATCAGCTCCTCTATAGCAATCTGGAGTGCTCGGCAGGCCCTGGTAGAATGCCCCTTCCTCTTTTGGTATTGACAATATGTGTCATCACGTCCCATAAAAGCTTTTGTGTCTGTTGGAGGGGAGATCACATCTTTTTCATTCTGAAGGATGGTAGCAACAGACATGACGAGCGGTGTGAAACGAGCTGGTTTTGGAGCATTCATCGCCACTAGGCTAGAACCCAGCCGATCGGCCAACTTTGTAGATGCCTGGGGTGCTCCACGATCTCTGATCATAATTTCTTCTTCCAGGATAGCATGCCTCTGTGCCCATTCCAGGATCTCCACGTAACTAGTCCCCGGGTTTTTCTTTAAATCCCGATATAACTCTCCCGTCTGAAGAGCGTCGGTAAATAGCGTGACTGCTGTGCAATCCGTTAGTTTTCTACCTTTAACGTCTCATCCCTCTATCTGGTCAAGAACTGGGTGATGAACTCCTTCATCCCCTGGCGGACACTGGTGAGATGACTGAAGTGCCGCTTTGGGGTGGCACTCAAAGCGAAGTGAGCTAGGAACAAGGTTGATAAGGCGGCAAAGCTTCCGATCGACCCAGGTTGTAATTGGCTGAACCATTCCTGGGCAGGTCCCCGGAGAGTGCTAAAAAATAGTCGCAGATAGCCTCCTCTGAGGCTCCCAAGAGCATGAGTGCTCCCTCATAGCTGATGAGATGGGTATCGGGGTCTCCTACCCCATTGTAAACACATCCGACTGAGGGTCTGCAATCCCTCTGGATTTTCACTTCCATTATTTCCCTTGTAAAGGGAGATGTGATCCCCGCACGGGGTGGCGGGTGTGTCTGATTCTGTTGACGAGTGAGCCCGTAGACCTGCCTTTGCAAGGCGGCCAGTGCTGCTTCCTGAGCCGTTCAGGGAGGTGTCCTCAGGTTAACCCTTTCGGGGGTTCTCTCTGTTCGGTGTGCATCCGCCTCCTGGCATCCTCTTGTATGATGTTCTCCATTTCTGTCGATGTACCGGTACTGATGCTCTGTCATTCCCACCGGGTTTGTTCCCTAAACTGATGCCCCTGTCTAGTCACGAATGGGGTATGGTCAGAGGACAAGTGCTGCTGGTGCCCGGAAGTATGGGTCCCTCGATGTCCTCTTTGCCCCAATCATGTATAGACTGAAGCCCTGGTTGTCTCCGTTTCATCAGTGTCTTCGTTAAAGGATTGCTCTCGATGGGTTGGCGAGGGGGTTGTATATTCGGTCTCCGTGTAGCTGGATTGTCCCCCATCATGTTCATCTGCTAACGCCTGCATTATGTGGGCCAAATTTCTCATGGCACGGGGATCTGTCCTTAATACTTCGGGGATGAAGAAGTCCCCCTCGAACTGCTGGTACGAACCCCGGCTGGATTGCCCTTGGGGAGTCCGGTCTTCCGGCGTCCTGTTGTCCCCGTGTATCCCCGAGTTTCCCTCGGTGGGATGAGAAGTGAGTTTGACCATACTGAAGGGTAGATTGATGCTTAGTTAAGCGGTATTGTTTGCAACTTTTTGTTCAGAATTTCCCACAGACGGCGCCAATGTTGTGGTTTAATCCCGAATGACCCGAAGGCCCAACACTAACTTTGGATCTTGGGTTAAGTTGCTACAGTAATGTGTATAAAAGGAAATATAAAATCTGATTTAACTATCTAAATAACTCAGCTTGCATTAATACGGTAACAACAATTACACAGAAATGACCGAGCGGTAATTATGATTCAAAGGCTAATACGAGAGTTATGATACAATATAAGTTAATGAGTTAATGAAATCCAACCCCTTACAATGATTTAACAACTGCTATTTATGCTAAATGGAGACATGGAGCGCCTTTATACGATTGGTTGCTTTCCATGCCACTTGAGACCCCCCATGATCCAGCATTAACTGCAGTCGGTCACATCTCGTTCGGGTGGTGCCGAACGGGTCTTGCCTTTAAGCAGACCATTTGGGCCCAACGATCTCTTCCTGACTATCCTTTGTATTTTGGACCTTAAGAATGTGCCGAACTCCCGTTCGGGATCTATGACCTTTGGGCTTTCCTTGGTTCCTGGACTTCTAGGGATATTTTGGGCCGCCATATTGGGCCGGACCTCAATATCCTATCAATAAGTATATATTAATTAGATAATTAAATTTTCTTAATATAATATATGTATTTAGAAGTAGATATATATATATATATATATATATATATATATATAAGTAGGTATTAGTTGTATAAATATATGTAGAAAGAATTGAAGAAGATGAAGATGGAAATGATTAAGCATATTAGAGAATAGAGAGTAGGAAGAGTTGGAGAAGATGTGTAGAAAATTGTTTAGAAAATAGGAGTATTTATAGGTTTTTTATACCCCCCCCCCCCCCCCCGGACCCCCTCCCAGCCCTCGAACGGCTATAGAGCCGTTTGGGAGTGTTCCCAACGACTAGGAAGAGCAAGCCAAATTTTAAACAATTTTTTTAAAAAAATTTGACCGTTTAGGCCCGGACCTGGCCCGAACCAGCCGGGCCGGTTCATCATTTGAGAGGCCCAGGAACCGCCCCTCTACAGTTCCGGGCAAAGAACCGGATACCGGGCCGGGCCGTAACAGTACCAGTTCGGGCCGGTTACAGGCCGGTAACCGGCCCGAGTCCATCCCTAATTAAAACCGTTATAAAGCCTAATCAAGAAAATTTTAATTTGATAAAAATTTGATATATAAAGTAAAGATTAGGAGTGATTTAAGTTGACCAATGAATAGTGAATGGGAACTTCATTTCGCGATGGAGGTAGTATAAGGATGTAATTATCTATTATCGTCTTTTTTGTCACATTTTTGGAAATTTAAGAAAATGTCACTTTTCTATCCATACATAGTCATGGAGTCAAGCTAGTCCCGTTCCATGTTCAGGACCGACCAATCCCAGTTCTAAAATAGTGAAGCCCGATACTGACCCGGTTTGGTCCGCTACAGGTTCCAATTCAGGTACCAGGGTGGGTCACAGGTTGTGTTGGTCTCGGGTCGAGCCACGAGTACCCCACCCTCTTTAAAAAAATTAAAGAAATGGTCGTTGGGACTGAAACCAGGCCCGGGACCAGCCGGTCCGATACCAAATATTAAAGCACGAGCCCATCACGCTAATAAGCCAGTCTAGTTACTGGGCCTGTACTAGGGATGGATTCGGGCCGGGTCGGGCCCGATCGGGCCGCCGGTTCGTATCACATGGGCCCGGGACCGGCCCGAGGGTTGGACAGGTCCGGTTCGGGCCGGGCCACCCGCCCGGGTCACGGGTCGAGCCGGGCCGGGCCGGTTAAATATTTTTTTTAAAATTTATATTTTATACTTTATAGTTTTATACAAGTATTAAAAAACAAACTTCAAGTGCATTTATTTGAAATGAAATAGGAACTACATTTGAAAATTAAATAGGAACTATAATTGTTTTTAAAACATGAAATACTAATCAATCATTCAATATTTCAATCGGAATCTCCGGCATAGGTAGAGCCACCCTCGGTTGTAGATTCATCCATAAAGTGTTGGGATGGGGTGATGTCAATTTCTTGAGCTCTACGGGCTGCTTTCAACCAATCGTGGTAGCATATAAGCATCTCAAGAGATTCAGCGCTCAACCTCGTTCTGGTTTGTGTTAGGACATTGCCGGCCGAACTAAATTCTTGTTCCACGGCAACCGTTGAAACCGGCATTGATAGCACTTGCTTAGCCATCTTTGCTAAAACCGGGAACATTCTTTCTTTTCCCTTCCACCAGTTTAGTACGTCAAAATCATCATCTTCTTCAAAATCAACATCATAAGTTAAATACAAAGAAATATCATTAATTGTGCTTTGTTGTGTGGCGGGAGTTGATTTCGTTTTTTTAATAAGATTGGCAAACGTAGATTTGAAAATTGATTTTCCTTTAGATGATGTTTGTGTCAGGGGAGGGGGCGCATTGCCATATTGTGCATGAAACTCATTAAATAATGCATAAAATATATCACTAACCTCGTTGTATTCTTTTTTCGGATCAATTGGGTTGTCCTCATACATTGACAATGCACCAAAAAAAGCAGCATAATAATAATTCAAACATTCTTCTAAAGAACCAAGTCTAAAACGAGGATCGAGAACAAATGCAATACCATAAATATGCGGAATATGTGAATAATATTTTAAAAACTTTTCCTTCATAAAACTAGCAAAATAACTCACATAATCAGCATTCTCAAAATTTGAAAAAGCACCGGCGAAATTAACAGCTTCGCGAATAAATTGGTTTGAGGTAGGTTTATAAACACGACTAAAAGTTTCAGTTGCATTATTAAAATATATCAAAGCATTACAAATTTTTTCTCAGGTGTCGATCTCAGTCGAGTTTATAATATAGTTATCATATTGTTTCATAAAAGCAGGAAAATGTTGTTTATATCTAAGAAGAACTCCAATTAACTTATAGGTACTATTCCAACGAATAAACAAATCTTTAGGAAAAGCCACATATCTCTCACCTCTTTCTATCAAATAATCATGCCATTTTTTCCTAAGTTGTCCATTACTCCAAATACGTCTAATCCCCCCCTTGACTACCTCCAACGATGCTCCCAACGCTTTTAGACCATCTTGCACACATAAATTTAGAACATGACATGCACATCGTTGATGAAAAAATCTACCCATCAAAGAAGTAGAACCACACAATTCACGCAATCTAGGAATAGCAGCAGTATTATGAGTAGCATTATCAAAACCAATGCAAACACCTTATCAATTAAATTATACTCAATTAAAATACGTTCAATCAAAATATAAATATGTTCAGCGGTGTGACGATCATTAAATTCACGGAAAGCAAGAACATGTTTATGCATATGCCAATCATTATCAATATAATGTACAGTCAGACCCAAATAATGTAAATTATGATAAGTATTCTCCCATATGTCAGAACATACAGTAACACGTCCATCAAAGTTTGCAAAATAATTTTGTAACCTTACCTTTTCCGCACCATAAAGCCTTGAAATTTCTTTCTTAACCGTTTTGCGACTATAACCTCTATATTGCGGATTTAAACAAGTTTGTGCATAATCACGAAAAGCAAGACTTTCAGAAAACAAATAAGGCAAATTTTCTTCAACAAGTAAGTTAGCCATACCTGTCAAATTTTGTGCATCATTGTATGAGAAATTACCAAAAGCTTGTTGGTTATTTACAAACCTCGATATTGGCGTTTGCTTCCCCGTTCCGCCGCCTAATTTTGCATACTCCACCGGGTGTTTGGACTTAAGGTGTCTTGTGGCGGATCCGTATCCGCCGGAAATCCCCAAGCTATAGTTTTTCTTGCACCAATTGCAAGTTGCGGTCCAATTCCCGGTGTTCGGGTCCTTCCACTTAGAAAAAATATTAGCCATTAGTTCAGATTTACTTTTTTTTGTACCTGTTTGGGATGAGGCTGGTTGGTCGGCGTCATGGCTGCCGCCACCCTCCTCCTCCTCGTCGTCGTGGCTCTCTGGAATTACTTCCTCCACATCGTCGTCCTCGTCCTCGAGCTCTTCTTCGTCAATGGTCCTCCGTTGGTCTTGAAAAAAGCGGGAATTATGTCGGTGCAATTCTTGTTCTAGTTGTTCGTCGGTCATCGCATCCCCATCCCTCCTTGCGTAACACGTATCAAAATCATCTCGACTTTGAGATGAAGAGCCGATATGTGATTTACCTTTGCGGGATCTCTTCCTCGCAAGCTCTTTCGTTCGGTTGCGCTCGAGGTTACCCATATCAACCGAATATCTAGGACGATCCATCTAAAAAATGTAGCGATTAATAAAAAATTGTAAAAAACTAATTAACTATTTATGTAACTATTAAATCGAGTTATAGCAAATTAACTAGTTAATTAACTAGTTTTGTGTACAACATATTTTTTAAACTAGAGTCAAATGTAGCAATTAATAAAAAATTGTAAAAAAGTAATTAACTATTTATCTAACTATTAATTCGAGTTATAATAAATTAAGTAGTGAATTAACTAGTTTTGTGTACAACATATTTTTTTAAACTAGAGTCAAATGTAGCAATTAATAAAAAATTGTAAAAAAGTAATTAACTATTTATCTAACTATTAATTCGAGTTATAGCAAATTAACTAGTGAATTAACTAGTTTTGTGTACAACATATTTTTTAAACTAGAGTCAAATGTAGCAATTAATAAAAAATTGTAAAAAACTAATTAACTATTTATGTAACTATTAAATCGAGTTATAGCAAATTAACTAGTGAATTAACTAGTTTTGTGTACAACATATTTTTTTAAACTAGAGTCAAATGTAGCAATTAATAAAAAATTGTAAAAAAGTAATTAACTATTTATCTAACTACTAATTCGAGTTATAGCAAATTAAGTAGTGAATTAACTAGTTTTGTGTACAACATATTTATTTAAACTAGAGTCAAATGTAGCAATTAATAAAAAATTGTAAAAAGGTAATTAACTATTTATCTAACTATTAATTCGAGTTATAGCAAATTAAGTAGTGAATTAACTAGTTTTGTGTACAACATATTTTTTAAACTAGAGTCAAATGTAGCAATTAATAAAAAATTGTAAAAAGTAATTAACTATTTATCTAACTATTAATTCGAGTTAGAGCAAATTAACTAGTGAATTAACTAGTTTTGTGTACAACATATTTTTTAAACTAGAGTCAAATGTAGCAATTAATAAAAAATTGTAAAAAGTAATTAACTATTTATCTAAATATTAAACTAGAGTCAAATGTAGCAAATTAACTAGTAATTAAACAAGTGTAAATAATAGAATAATTTCGTACCTCTTTCGGACTTTCGGTCTTTCGGATGGGAGTAATAGAATGACTTCAAATTAATTAGATATAATTCCAACTATATTAATAGATATAATAAATATATAAGTAATATATAATTACATAACAAATATAAGTAATATAATACTATTTATATCTATTTATAGTTTATATAAGTAGATAATTAATATAAACTATAAATAATAAATATAATATATTGGAGAATGGAGAATAAGAGAATTAGAGAGTAGAGAGTTAAGAATAGGATTTAGGAAGAATTAGAGAAGAGATATGAAAAAAAATTTAAGATTAGGAGTATTTATAGGTTTTTTTACCCCCCACACCCCCCACCACCCAACCCCCCGGACCCCCCCTGCACCCCACCCAACGACTATATAGCCGTTTGGGTTGACCCCAGCCCACCCCCAACGGCTAGTAGCCTAGTACCAATTTAAAAAAAAAATTAAAATCAGACCTTTGGCCCGGACCCGGGCCCGGACCCGACCCGGCCGGGTCACATTTATCCGGAACCGTGCCCGCCCCGCCCATTCCCATCGGTTCGGTCCCGGACCGCCCGATCGGGCCGGTCCACACCCGGTCCCGGACCGCCCGATCGGGCCGGTCCCGGGCCCGCACAGTACCGGACCGGGCCGGGTCACGGGTCGGGTGGCCCGAACCGAATCCACCCCTAGCCTGTACTAGCACCGAAAAATTGGTCTCAAGCCGTTACCAAAGAATACCTGTCCCGGGTCGGTATCGTGATGGGCCACCCAAACCCAGTCCAAGACTATCCATACCTCACTTTTTAATAATATCCTTGACATAACCCCGAACCGGATCTGGAAAAGAGTAGCTTCTTCGAACCAACGATGACCCCAAAATCGACTTCACCCTAACATTCAGACGGTGGAGGCCTAATCGAAAGAAATCGACTTCACAGAAAGGAATTGAGCATTTGAACTTTAGAATTTTCCCAATTCTCGAACTAGCTATATTTCTTGGTAAGGGTAAAAACCTTCTAAACGATCTTGCTTTATTTCTCAAGCGCTTCTTGTATAGATACTCCCTCCGTACCTGTCCCATCAGAAGGTTCCCACTTTTCTTTTTTGGACGTCTTGTTAGAAGGTTCTCATTTCCATTTTAGATGACAAATTAATCATTAAATATTAAAAATAATGCATTTATAACATCACTGTTATCAATATTAACTGCATTATAATATATACCTATTAAAATTATTTCCCAAAACATACTCGAAGTACTTTATTTAATTATTGGCTAAATAACTGTGTCGTTTTGCTATGGAAACCTTCCAACGGACGGAGGTAGTATAACTTACTCCCTCCGTTCCCCTATAATTGTCCTGTTTTTCTATTTTTGGATGTCCCCCTATTATTGTCCAGTAGTTATACCGTGGAACCGATGCATGGTGAGCACCATGCACCCTTGTTATTTTTTATATCTCATTTTCTTAAAATTGTTAATAATTTTTTTATTTTTGATCCGATTTTTATAAAATTTATATCAATTTTTTTTTATTTTTCAAGATCTTTCAAATGAGACCAATATTGACTATGTAATTTTAACATATTAACATTTGCGTGTAAAAATATGTAATTTAATTTTTGTCTCAATATTTTATGTGATGTAAATCCTATGTATTGAAATGTAACTCGTGTTGTTATAAAATGTAATCTCAGTTAACTATAAATGTAACATGTTACCTGGAATTTAACTCATATTACACCCTCTAGTGATTCTCTCACCTTTTATACGAAATGTAAACCACGTGTTACAAGATGTAACTTTTATCAAATTGATATATAACTCGAGTGTATCCAAAATGTAACTTGAGGAATTTCAAAATTGTAAGGTGCGTTAATTAAAAAGTTAATTCAGGGAAATCGAAAATGTAAATCATGTTAATCAAAATGTAACTTAATGTTGATACAAATGTAACTAACTTGTAGAAATATGTAACTTACGTGTAAAAATATGTAACTTCACATATAAAAATATGTAACTCACATAGTCACATGTAACTCAATGATTTTTTATATACACAATTTTAAGATAAATTGTGATTTACACAATTATTTTTTTGTATTAAATTTAGTTCGATTTTCCTTATAATCCAATAATCATTTATATAATAGTTCCATAATTTTTTAAAATTACATAAGCAATATTGATCTTATTTGAAAGATCGTGAAAAATAAAAAATGTTGATATAAATTTTATAAAAATCCGATCAAAAATAAAAAAGTTATTACCATTTTTTAACAACAAAAGCAAAAAAAAAAGAAACCAAGCCATGCTCCGTCATTTTGGGATCGGGCACACCATCCTCATGGTGCGCCGATCCCAGGATATAATTTGTCATTATTGTCTCATACAATATTTGATAATATTCCCACTTTATCAACTCATTATCAACCACATACTTCTACTTTTCTTTAAAATCACATCACTCCATTCCGTCCCAATATTAGGGGCGGAGGTAGTACTTTTAGTAATATTTTTGGCTAAACTCCATGTCATATTAAAAGATGATGACTCAATGGAAGGTACTCACTAGATTAGTCAAGTAATAAAGTTGAAAATGAAACAGAATAGTTAGAGAAAAAAAGTATGAACAGGTTTTTTATGGTAAACCAGTTTATATTAAAATAACAAGTAATGCAAAACAATGTTCAGATAATGCTAAACTCCATGTCATATCTAGACCTTATAAAAACAAACCAGTTTTTATAACTCACCTCACCTTATTGCAAGCGATAGGAATAGACATAATGTGTGTCACTCAGAAAAAACTAAACAAATAATTAGATATAGATACAAACCGAGACCGGACCAACCAATCCAGCCAGGTATTAAAACAGTAGCTCAAGACCTACCCAAAACCTTATACTCGGTCCTGAATCCATTTCAAAAACAGGTGGATCCTGGTTCGGCCTGGTCTCAAGACTGGGACTACTCTCCTTCTTACAAGGATGAGCAAACCACTTTAATCCAGACTCACATCTTCAATAGGTCTTCCAATCCAATTGAGGGTAAAAGGAGCATAAAAATATTTTAACAATATACTACTTACTAGGTACGTATTTTTTATAAAACAATTTAGCCATCTTTAATTTAGGGGCAATCAACTAAGCAAGATTCAATTACATTATTACACTTGCATTACGCCCGCAGTACAACATACCAAATGTATGTTTGACACGTCATAAGCTGGTAGATAAAATAACACAACACAAAATATATCTGCGAATGAATTGTGTCCAAGTTTTGACCTTGAAAGAAATTGATACCGCGAAATGTCTTATCTCACCATTACTAGACATTTAAACTCCTTCCTCCCCCCCTCCTTCAAGCAAGGAAGCCCTAATGGTATTTGATTGGGCCATCTAAGCTCCCTGATGCAAACTAGGAAACAAATCCACATTTAATCCGTCCATGTTTTAATTATCACAACACATCAAGTCACAAAATTTATCGTATCTTACTTTACTTCCTCTCCTAGTCATATATACCTGCTTAACAATAGGATTAGTTGATGACGAGAATTCACGAGTCATTCCTTGCCATACAACCCTACCTTCATGAAGAAACAATAGCCTGCACATATATCAGATTCATTTGTATGTATGTGTGGGTGTACGTATGGATGGATGGACAGATGGACTTAACCTCCTGCGTCACTCGAGCTATCAGAGGCTGAAGGAAGAAAGGAAGTAAGAAGAAAGTAAAGAAGGAAGGACGCAAGCAAGCACGAGAGGGAGACAGAGGAATCAAAACCTGTCAACAGCTCTTCTGATGGTACTGTGTTGATGGGTGACCACAACATAGGATGCAATCTGCCCAGGCTTTCCAAGGGCATCCTCCCCTTTCATATGAACTGACCGGATCAGATCTTCCACAACTGTTGATGCAATCGGATCCAGCCCAGCTGTGGGCTCATCGTATAACAGCACCTGCCAACATTGGATTATTGGAAATACCCTCATTTTCATCATTCACTTGCAAATAAGTTACTGATATGTTTTGATCCCAGAAAACGCTATGGAAAGGGGACAAAAGTGCCGAGAACAAATATTTTTTGGTTTTACATTGATAAATGCACAAGGAAATTAAATTTAATTATTTCTTTCAATTTTTTTACATTTACTTATGTTTCTTTGTGGCACACATAAACAAACAAACAAACAAACAGTGTGTGTGTGTGTGTGTTAACAAATATCTCAAAAAACATTTATTGAGTTTTAGCCTATCTTTTATTTTCCAACATTTTCTTTCTGATTTTTCCCATATGCTTTCCTTCCTCATTCAAGCGATTGATTATAAAACAAAAAAAATTATTAACTAAAAATACAAACAGCAGCAACACTAGGCATTGATCCTTATCTGTTGAAGTATGACGCAATATGAGATAGTTTAATAAGAATAACGCGAATTCATCATTTCTTTTCCACCCACCTTTGCATATTCTAGAGTATGCATGCAAAATGGACATTTAGACCTCTTTTGGATTACCTTCCAAGTACAGGGAATTCCCTTTTTCCCAGGAATGAGGTGTGATGGTTTCGAATTCAAAAACCTGAGAGCTTGGGTATTCCTATATTTTCTCAGTTCATGAATTTGGGAGTTCAAGCCTAAAGTACACCATGGTTCATGGTTGTTGAACAATTCCTCGGAAGTAGTTGAGTTCACTGGATTCTTTTGAACTCCTGAACTCCCCATCTGACTTTAACTAATTTCTAGTAATTCAAATTCAACTATCAAATCAATCCAAACAATGCCTTATAGACTAAGAGGAAACCTCAAAACAGCACTGCAATGAACGCTAACAAAACCAACAACAACAACAACAACAACATCCAAGCCTTAGTCCCAAAAGATATTGGGGTCGGCTAACATTAATCGATACATGATATCACAACCAAAAGGAAAAGAAGGAATAAAGATAAAAAGATAAGCTATTATGAAAAGATAATATAAAAAAAAGATGAATATATATAAAAATGATAAAATAAAAAGGCTGCAAATAATGCTTATATATATAAGGATAAAAAAAACTAGGAAAAAAAGATGAGGGAAAAAGATTATCAAGATCACTCCTTCACGTGAATACCCGCCCTCCACTTAGTTCTCTCCAAAGTCATGCCCTCATCCAACCCCAGAAGAAGCATATCACTTCGAACTCCCCTAACCCACATATGTTTGGGTCTTCCTCTCCCTCTCTTCCCTGCCTCTTCTCCACACATCTCAACTCGCCTAACAGGTGCATCACTCGGTCTTCTACGCACATGACCAAACCACCGTAGGCGCGACTCCCGCATCTTGTCTTCAATAGGTGCTACTCCCACCCTTTGTCTGATTGTCTCATTCCTCACGCGGTCCTTCCTAGTATGCCCACACATCCAACGCAGCATGCGCATCTCTGCCACACTCATCTTTTGAATGTGACATTGTTTCACCGCCCAACACTCTACGCCATACAGTAATGCATGCCTAATTGTTGTCCTATAAAATTTACCCTTCAGTCTAGTCGGCATACCTCAGTCGCATAGAAATCCTGACGCACTCTTCCACTTCATCCACCATGTTCTGATTCTATGAGATACATCTCCATCTAACTCACCATCCTTCTGAATTATGGAGCCCAAGTAACGGAACATATCACTGACTGGTATCTCCTTACCATCCAGAGTAATTCCGCTATTACCACTACTTCTACCTCCACCAAACTTGCACTCCATGTACTCTGTCTTGCTCCGGCTTAGTTTGAAACTCTTATTCTCCAATGTTTGTCACCATGCTTCCAACTTTGCTTTAAGACCTGATTGTGTCTCATCAATCAATACAATATCGTCGGCAAACATCATGCACCACGGTATATCGTCTTGAATTGACTTCGTAAGTTCATCCATGACTATGGCAAATAAGAAAGGACTCAAGGCCGATCCTTGGTGCAATCCGATAGTAATAGGGAACTCTTCAGTCCTCCCTACACTAGTACGAACATTTGTAGTACAATCCTCATACATATCCATGATGATGCTGATATACTTGTGTGATATGCCTTTCCTAGTTAAGGCCCACCAAAGAACTTCTCGAGGTACCCTATCATATGCCTTTTCTAAGTCAATGAACACCAAATGCAGATCCTTATGAGCATCTCTATACTTCTCCATAAGTTGCCGAAGAAGGTGAATGGCCTCAGTTGTTGAGCGACCAGGCATAAAACCGAATTGATTCTCTGAAATCTTCACAGTCCTTCGAAGTCTTTGCTCAATCACTCGCTCCCAAAGTTTCATGGTGTGACTCATAAGCTTAATCCCTCGATAGTTGGCACATTCTTATACATCACCTTTATTCTTAAATAAGGGGATAAGAGTACTCTTCCTCCAACTCGTTGGCATCTTGTTGTTTCTCCAAATCATGTTGAAGAAACTTGTTAACCACTCGACACCTCTCCCAAACTTCTCCAAGCCTCGATCGGTATGCCATCTGGCCCCATTGCTCTTTTCCGTCCCATCTTCCTCAGAGCTTCTTTAACTTCCATTGTTTGGATCCTTCTCACAAATTCACGGTTTACCATACAATCTGGTATGGACAAATCGCCGATATCTTGCGTTTTGTTCCCGTTGAATAGTGTATCAAAGTATGACCTCCACCTCTCTTTTATCTCTCCGTCGTCCATTAATATCTTCTGATCAACATCCTTCACACACTTAACTTTTGCAATATCTTGAGTTCTGCGATCACGAAGACGAGCAAGTCTATAAATATCTAGTTCTCCTTCCTTAGAGTCCAACTTTTCATACAACTCCTTGTTCACTTTCCCTCGTGCTTCCCTTACGGCTTTCTTTGCTTGTCTTTTAGCCTCCCTGTATGCTTCTATGTTCTCATCACTCCAATTTGTCCCAAACTTTTTGTAGCAATCTCTTTTGTTCCTTATGGCTTGTTTCACTTCATCATTCCACCAAGATGTGTCCTTTTTAGGTGGCCGACATCCTTTAGATTCTCCAAGTACCTCCTTTGCCACTTTGTTAATGGTCAACTCCATTGATAACCACAATGTAAGAAAAATTATTGTATTAGTGAGTATGTCAGTTTTTTCATGTGTACAAATAATATATATCCATTTTCAATTCACATTGTCAAAAGATTATCTTGATTCCAATTAATTAATCCAAAAGATATATGATGCAGGGTAGGGGTGAGAAAACAGAAAGCACAAAATTACCTCTGGCTCAGCTATATCTTTAGTTGTATCAAAAATTATAGACCGAGCTAGAGCAACCCTTTTCTTCATTCCACCAGACAATTCAGAAGGTAGTCTATTTTCTACACCCTGCTAGAACATTTATTTAGTTAATTCAAATGAATAAACTAAAAATAACTAATAAGAATCTGTAGGAAAAGAAGTTAAAAAAACATGAAGCTGATTCATCTGTAATGCATTTCGTACGAGATTATAAAACATAAATTAAATAAAAGGATTAATAAAATAAAAACATTTTAATATACCTTTAAGCCAACAGCAGCTAACGTCTCTGCTACTAGCTTAGAAATTTTATCTCCGGGCATTGTGGAGTTCTCATATCTATATGTTCAGATAGAGTGCGCAAAAGCAACTAAACACTTTAGAGATATTTGGGCAATTTTAAGTAAACAAAGGAGTTGTTCTGTTCGTCTTATTCATATTGTTTATTTTTATTATATTCACATTAAATCAGAAAGATTCTGATCAGATCAAACATTCAGGTCAGACCAGAAACATTCAGATCAGATAACTTCTAAATGATTTATTATTATTATTATTGTTATTATTGTTATTATTGTTATTATTGTTATTATTTTTATTATTGTTATTATTGTTATTATTGTTATTATTGTTATTATTATTATTATTATTATTATTATTACTGTTACTACTATTACTACTACTACTATTACTATTATTATTATTAAGATTACTATTATTATTATTAATATTATTATGGTTATTGATATCAATATTATATTTATTGTCATTTTTATTATGTAATTTATTATTATTATTATTATTATTATTATTATTATTATTATTATTGTTTTTTGGATAAAATGTAAATATATATATCCAGTTATTATAAATTAAAAAACATAGTTCTTGCTATCAATATTTTAAAAAATAATAATGTTATTCCACTATATTTATTATTAGTGTGTTACTGTTATAGGTTGTTTCCATTATAATTAAATATGAATATTGTTATCATTATTATCATTATTTGTATGTTATTATTACTTAATAAAACATCATATGTTGTTGATGTGGTTAATAATAATAATATTATTACTACATCATAATATTACAATGTATTGTTATTGTTATTAATATCTGTATTTTACTATAATTATCTAAATGTAGGTTGTTGGTACTTATAATTTAATAATAATTACGGAGTATAATGATACCGATAACACTTAAAATAATGATAATCATAACTATACAAATAAGGACAATGATAATGATAAGATAACGACATTATAATTATAACTATAATCATAATTATTAATTATAATGATAATTATAATTGTAGGTATACATATAATTATAGCTGTAATTGTAATCATAATTATGGTTATAGTTATAATAATTATTATAACTAATAATTATAATAATAATAACACTAATAATAATACTAATGATACTAATACTAATGATAATATTACTAATGCTAAATTATTAATGATAACAATAATAACAATAATAACAATAATAACAACAATAACAACAACAATAAGAAGAAGAGAAAAGTGTCAAATTGGCCCTTGTACTCTGTACGGAAAATCAATTCCACCCCCGTATGATAACACTACTTTGTAATTTTCTAATTATTAATGATAACACTACTTTGTAATTTTCGTCAAAATCGACTTTTAGAAGGTAACCCGCCGGTATGTGGCCTGACATGGCGCACACGTGACGGGCCACATCAGTTTTTGTTTTCTTTTTCTTTTTCCTTTTTCTTTTCCTTTGTTTTCCTTCCCTTTCTTTTCTCTCTCCCCGCTTCCACTTTCCCAGTGACCCAATACATCTTCTTCCTCAAACTCCAGCCCCCTCATCTCCCCTCCAAAAAACAAAACAAAAACTCAAGCTCCATCTTTCTTTCTTTATTTCTTTCTACAGTTTTTCTCCGCCACTGACCGGTAAGGACAAGACACACTATTCATTTTCAAGACCGATTATTTCTCAATGCTCATAACTCAAACGTGGGCGATTTTTATTTATTTTTTAGACTAGATTGGAGTTCATTAGCTAGGAACGATGCTCCATATCGATTTTGAGCCGCTGACGACGAGATTTGGGGGGCTGGTTTATAACTGGTCAGAACTCAGAAGTTCTCTTTTTTGGACTCCTCGGGCATGTTTTTCCGGTGACTTCGAGGCTCAACACAAAAATTAAAATGTGCAAATGAGGTCACAATGAACAGGCACACCTCCTCATATTTTTCGTTTAATTTTTCGAGCACCCTCCATTTTTTGCAGTTTGTGTTCATGCCGGCGGGTCTAGAGAAGAAGAAAGGTTGGCAGGGAAAGAAAGAAAGAAAGGAAGGAAAGAAGGAAAGAAGGAAAGAGAGAGAGAGAGAGAGAGAGAGAGAGAGAGAGAGAGAAAGAAAGAAAGAAAGAAAGAAAGAAAGAAAGAAAGAAAGAAAGAAAGAAAGAAAGAAAGAAAGAAAGAAAGAAAGAAAGAAAGAAAGAAAGAAAGAAAGAAAGAAAGAAAGAAAGAAAGAAAGAAAGAAAGAAAGAAAGAAAGAAAGAAAGAAAGAAAGAAAGAAAGAAAGAAAGAAAGAAAGAAAGAAAGAAAGAAAGAAAGAAAGAAAGAAAGAAAGAAAGAAAGAAAGAAAGAAAGAAAGAAAGAAAGAAAGAAAGAAAGAAAGAAAGAAAGAAAGAAAGAAAGAAAGAAAGAAAAAGGAAAAAGAAAAAGAGAAAAGAAAAGAAAAACTGATGTGGCCCGCCATGTGTGCACTGTGTCAGGCCACGTGTGTGTCACGTCAGCAAGTAACCTGCTGACCGGCGAGTTATCTGCTAAAAGTTGGTTTTGACGAAAATTACAAAGTAGGAGGACGTAATTGATGAAACTTAATGTACGAGGGCAGAATTGAGTACGAGGGCCAATTTCACACTTTTGTCTTAGAAAATTAACAAAAATTCAAGGAAACCTAGGCGGAAGCAACTTACGAAAGAAAGAAAGAAAGAGAGAGAGAGAGAGAGAGAGAGAGAAAGACAGAGAGAGAGAAAGAGAGAAAGAAAGAGAGAAAGAAAGAGAGAAAGAAAGAGAGAAAGAGAGAAAGAGAGAGAGAAAGAGAGAGAGAAAGAGAGAAAGAGAGAAAGAAAGAAAGAAAGAGAGAAGAAAGAAAGAAAGAAAGAAAGAAAGAAAGAAAGAAAGAAAGAAAGAAAGAAAGAAAGAAAGAAAGAAAGAAAGAAAGAAAGAAAGAAAGAAAGAAAGAAAGAAAGAAAGAAAGAAAGAAAGAAAGAAAGAAAGAAAGAAAGAAAAAGGAAAAAGAAAAAGAGAAAAGAAAAAGAGAAAAGAAAAGAAAAACTGATGTGGCCCGCCATGTGTGCACTGTGTCAGGCCACGTGTGTGTCACGTCAGCAAGTAACCTGCTGACCGGCGAGTTATCTGCTAAAAGTTGGTTTTGACGAAAATTACAAAGTAGGAGGACGTAATTGATGAAACTTAATGTACGAGGGCAGAATTGAGTACGAGGGCCAATTTCACACTTTTGTCTTAGAAAATTAACAAAAATTCAAGGAAACCTAGGCGGAAGCAACTTACAAAAGGAAACCAACATTTTCTTGAACAGTCAAGGAGTCAAAAAGTGCTGCACTCTGAAACACCTGTTATACAAAAGCATAAATTCAAAAATATAAGCTCAAGGAAAGAACACTGTATTGTACTCCCTCCGTCCTAAAAGAAAAGGTCATGTTTGGTCAAGGCACAACTTTTAAATTTTGGCAAGGTGCAACTCTTAGAAGTTATGAAATCCTACATTCCTAATCCCTACCTATAAATTTTAAGTGATGGTATCACAAAACTTATCATATTTAACTTGATTGTAACTTTGTTTTTAATTTACATGAGAAGTTAGCTTCGTTTGACCAAAAAAGACATTTTCAAAACAACAAGAAAGATGACTTTTAACATGATAAAGAGTAGAAAAAATACTCACTAAGCCAATTCGAAGACCAGAAATTTCCTCATCGCTGATTAGTCCATGCCGTCTTCTACCTCGGACTAAAACCTCACCCTGTTCATTTAAAGTTGTACAACAGATAGGTGTTACATAAAATGAGTAACATTACAACCCTAAAAGAAATACAGTATGTAAATTACACTGTTAGAATATGAAATAATGAACTTCTCAAATTTGACAAGCACGTAAAGAGTACCTTATCTGGAGCAAGAAGCCCAGCCATTATCTTCAAGATTGTAGACTTCCCAGTCCCTGAAGGCCCAATTATTCCAACAGCCTCTCCATGCTTTATCTATGGAAGATGCACATGGAAAAACATAATTATTAATTCATTATGACCAAAATATGAGAAGAAAAATGATGATGATGATGATGATGGTGGTGGTGGTGGTGATGATAAATGATGTTTTGTGATTTCTTGCCTCATACTCCTTCCCTCCCAAACTATAGGGCCTTTTGTTTTAGCGCAAAGTTTACGGAAACAAGTACTCCATCCGTCACTTAAAACTTTGACAACTTTCCTTTTTTGAATGTCCCACTAACTTTGCCACTTTCCTTTTCAAGTAAAGATTTTGTGGTTCCTGTTAATTCTCTCTCCTCTGCACAAACCTCAACCACACAATTTTTACTTTATTAATCCCCGTGCCGGTCAAACTTGGCAAAGTTTTAAGGGACGGAGGGAGTACTACCTTTGTCCCATTTTATGTGTCCTACTTTTGTCTGGCACAACCATTAATAAAGTCATCATCATCATTACCTCAGTGCTGCAAAGGCCCCATCTTCAGTGGGGTAAGGGGGGTCGAATGTACGCAGTCTTACCCTTGTACTAAAGCACAAGAGACTGTTTCCGGATAACCCATAGTGAAAATCACGTCAAAAATTGCATGGATTGATTGTTGCTTCGTAACAAAGAAGCGCACATAATTTAATGAACTAATTTGTTTTATTCCATCATATTCCCAAGCCAAAAAATAGTGAGTTTGTGGCTCCATTGCAAATAATGGAAAAACAATTATTAATAAAGTGGTTGAAAAAATAAAAGTTGTGGTTCAGATTTGAGTATAATAAAGCGAAATATTATAGACCACATATTTCTTTCCAAAAAATGAAATGTCGTACTTATTTTGAGAAAACCCAAAAAGGATAGTAAGACATGTAAAATGGCATGGCATGGAGGCTCTCCAAATTGCTCGTTCACTACCATGTTACCGAATCAGTATAAAAAGTTAGAAGTGAGAATGGGTGGAATAGGAAAAGTGAAAAGTTAGTGGTGTTGAAATCAAAGAAGTAGCACTACTTTGGGACAACCTAATAGTCTAATACCAAAGCAGGACAAATAAAAACAGGTCGAGGGAGTATGTTAAGAAGTATAGGATACTAGGTTTAGAAGTTCTAGTTCTAGGGAAAGCCCATACACATGGACAGTTCAACTATTATTTCTAGCTTTGTATTACTAATTTACGAGTATTCTTGATAAAACATCAAGTTGTAATTTGAAAACATTATTTTTTGAAATAAAGTGTATATACTCCGAAAAGGTACCGAGTGTAAAATGACCCAAAGTTGCACAAAAGCAGATCCAGAAGCTCGAAAAGAGACCCCTCACAAGCATCTCACAAACTCCAAAAGATGAAAGTTGAACAAAATAATCATTGACCCTCTCTAAGGAAACTTCGATGTCATCAACATTAAAATGTTTCCAGTGTTCCATATTATCCATGCAGTAGCTAAAGGAATAGTTACACTAAGTTTCCTTCTCTCCTAGCTAATAACCTTCCTCCACTTGAACTTTGCACTAAGGATTACGAGTGACCAATACATCCCATCTCATCAAACCATTTCACCTTTATAATATATTTATATCACATAACAGTATACCATGTACAGTATACCTTTATATCACATTTTCCATCATTCGTAATGGAGCCAAAGATTCATTATTTTTTGGCTTGAGATTATGATGGAACAAAGCAAAATGGCTCACTAAACTGTCTGCGCTTCTTTGTTATGGAGCAACAGTCAGTCCATGCAATTTTGGACGCGATTTTCACTATGGGTCATCCGGAAACAGTCTCTCTGTGCTTTAGTACAGGGGTAAGACTGCGTACATCCGACCCCGCCTTACCCCACCGTAGGTGGGAGCCTTTGCGGCACTGGGGTAAATGAAAATGAAAATGAACAGTATATCATGTACACCTCCGTTCTCTTTTAAGTGGCGTATTAGCTGTTTGTCTAAGAAGACCGTAAAATTCTCTTAAGTAATAGTAAAAGTAGTATAATATGACTAGTTTAACCCTATTAGAGAACGTTTAGTAACAGCTAAATTGAATGCATTGACTGATTCTGCTAAAATTTATGAAATTGTGGCTGGAGTGGCTGGAGTGACTGATTCCGCTGATTTATGAAAAAAAAAAATTTTAAATATATTTTATTAAACTCCGCCATGGGATCATTTTTTTGGTATCATGTATGTCCCAAGCCAGGATAAAGTATGAGGCTGCTGTGGTAGGCGCGTGACGGCCAACAGTATCACTTAGTCACATCACATAACATGAATCGAAATATGAATATCGCTACAGCTAGGTCGTCGCTCGTAAGCGACGTGTCATCCCTCCGCATGGGGGTGATGTCAAATGAGCAAGGGCGCGCTACACTTCATAGGCCTGGGTGTGGTGATAAGAATGCTAAGGCTGCTAGGTCGTCGCCCGGAAGCGACGCGCCACTCCAATGCCCGGGGATGGTGTCAAATATGCAAGGGCATGGTGGGGGTCGATGTGGTGTGAAGAAGAGAAGGCAGGGTGCTAGAATGCGTTTTGGGACATGGAATGTTGGCTCTCTTACGAGAAGATCATCTGAGATAGCCGATGTTATGAAGAGGAGGAATATCAGTATAATGTGCATGCAAGAAACTAAGTGGGTTGGAGAAAAGGCACGTGAGATTAATCCTGGAGGTTTTAAGTTGTGGTACTCGGGGAGAGAGCAGAACAGAAATGGAGTAGGCATTATGGTAGCACATGATTATGTTGAGGGTGTGGTTGAAGTCTTTAGGAAGAACGATCGCATCATGAGCATTAAGTTGATAATAGGATATGAGATCGTGTCCGTGGTAAGTGCCTATGCACCACAAGTGGGATTGCATGCATCTATCACTCAACAATTTTGGGAGGATCTTAAGAAAGTGGTGCGACGAGTGCCAAGGGGAGAGAAGTTGGTCATAGGAGGCACCTCAACGAGCATGTGGGCCCAAGTCGTGATGGTTTTGAGAGTATCCATGGCGGACATGGTTTTGGCACTAGAAATGAGGCGGGGAAGAACATTCTGGATTTTGCCTCGACATATGAGTTGGCTGTGATGAACACTTGGTTCAAGAAAGGAGACTCTCACCTTGTCACCTATTAGAAGCGGAGCTAATAGTACCCAAATTGACTACTTTTTAGTACAGACGACTTGGATAACTAGCTACATTGATTGTAAGGTTATCCCGGATGAGAGTGTTGTCACTCAGCATAGGATGCTTGTGCTTGATTTTCAAGGTAAAAAGAGGAGACGAGTTAAGGTACAAGGGGAGCCAAAGATAAAATGGTGGAGGCTCGAGGGGAATCTCCAACAAAGTTTTGCACACAAAATATTGGAGGAAGGTGTATGGTCTATTGATAATGACGCACACGTGGATGATGTGTGGTTATAAATGGAGTCCACCATTTACAAAGTGGCGAAGAAGATACTCGAAGAATCTAAAGGATTTTTGCCACCAAAAAAGGACACGTCTTGGTGGAATGATGAGGTGAAACAAGCAATAAAGACCAAAAGGGAATGCTATAAGAAATTGGGCAAAAGTTGGAGCGACGAGAACATAAAGGAGTACAAGGAGGTTAGAAGAAGAGCAAAGAAAGCTATGAAGGAAGCCAGAGATAAAGTGAACAAGGAATTGTATGAAAAGTTGGACTCTTAGGAAGGAGAAAAAGGTATCTACAGAGTTGCTCGCCTTCGTGACCGTAAAACTCAAGATATCGGAAAAGTTAAATGTGTGAAGGATGTCGATCAAGGGTATTAATGAAGGACGAAGAAATAAAAGAGAGGTAAAGGTCATACTTTGATACTTTGTTCAACGGGAATAAAGTGCAGGGTATTGATGATCTTACTATACCAGTGTATGGTAAATCGGTACTTCGTGAGAAGGATTCAAACAACAGAAGTTAAAGAGGCTATGAGAAAAAAGGGGCGGAAGAAAGCAGTGGGCCCAGATGGCATACCGATCGAGGCTTGGAGAAGTTTAGGAGAGAAAAGCATCGAGTGGTTAACACGTTTCGTCAACATGATTTGGAGAAACAACAAAGTGACAATGAGTTGGCAGAAGAGTACTCTCATTCCCTTATTTAAAAATAAGGGTGATGAACAAGAATGTGCTAACTATCGAAGGATTACGCTTATGAGTCACACCATGAAACTTTGAGAGCGAGTGGTTGAGCAAAGACTTCATAAAAGTGTGAAAATTTTGGAGAATCAATTTGGTTATATGCCTGAACGCTTAACAACTGAGACCATTCACATTCTTAGACAAGTTGTGGAGAAGTATAGAGACACTAAAAAGGATCTGCATTTGGTGTTTATTGACTTAGAAAAGGCATATGATAGGATACCTCGAGAAGTTCTTCGGTGGGTCTTAACTTTTAGAGCGAGTGGTTGAGCAAAGACTTCATAAAAGTGTGAAAATTTTGGAGAATCAATTTGGTTATATGCTTGGACGCTTAACAACTGAGACCATTCACCTTCTTAGACAAGTTGTGGAGAAGTATAGAGACACTAAAAAGGATCTGCATTTGGTGTTTATTGACTTAGAAAAGGCATATGATAGGATACCTCGAGAAGTTCTTCGGTGGGTCTTAACTAGAAAAGGCATATCACGTAAGTATATCAGTATCATCATGGATATGTATGATGTTTGTACTACAAATGTCCGCACTAATGTAGGGTACGACCGCAAAGTTCCTTATTACTATCAGAGTGCACCAAGGATCTGCTCTGAGTCCTTTCTTATTTGCTATAGTCATGGATGAACTTACGAAGTCAATTCAAGAAGATATACCGTGGTGCATGATGTTTGCCGACGATATTGTATTGATTGATGATAGATCACTGGAATCTGCAAAGCAAACAATAAAAGAAGCACAGAGAAATGGAAGGAATAGATCGAATGGCTTTATTCCTCCAACTGAACAGATCACGGGGATACAGTGCTCAGAGGCTTATTCGAGATGCCCGGTCTCCAAATCCTTACCCAACAGAAAATAC